GTGCTGCAAGGACTTTGACCAGCGTTGTTGTTTTTTGTTTGGTGGCCTTTACATGGTTACATAAGCATCTCACAACACAAGAAAAAAAATTATCACTATTATAAATAGTAGGGTCAAGGTAATAGCATTATAAAGATTAGTTAATTTGGCTATCAGGTTTTTCCAATGTTCAGTCAATCCCTGTAAGAAAGAAGAGGTTGTCAAGATAAACACCTTAGTCTTATTGATTTTGACAATTGCCTTAGTAAGGTTATGCATAGTCATAACATAGTTAGAATCCCAAATGCCCTTAATATAATGAGAAAAATTGGAGAAGTAGAAGGTCACATTTTCAGATACAGCATATTGGGTGATACATATACTATGAAACTCAGGATCACAAGTGAGCCTTTGCAACATAAACAGAATATCTAGTTGTTCTTGGTGGGGGTCTCGTTCTTGCTGAATGACTAAAATAGCAGCTCAGGACAGTTTATTTAAGTCATTTTGAATGGCAAAGGCTTTTTTCATGACAGTAGGCAAGTTGTTCACAGTGTGAGCAGTCTGGATACTCTGAGTGAGCGAAGTAGCTGCAGTGGCTGTGGCAGCAATGGTGGCTACCAGGGCAATAATCCCAGTGATGATGAGGCTAATTGCATGCCTTGTCTGGTGTAGGATTTCATTCAGAGGATTCTTCATGTCCATGTCCCATGGACTCCTCCACTCTCTGGATAAGTTTACTGGAAACTAGATTACTGCGGGAACTCTGAGGATAAATAGACATTTAGCTTTCATAGCAGGGGCTAGACAATTTATGAACCAGCAGGATGTGTTGACTGCACAAGGGATCTCTGTATGAATGATATTTATGCTATCAGTATCATTGACTATTAGCATGGTAAAGGGTGGCATAACACAAGCTTGTACATAGTAGGTATGGATATAATTTGGCATAAAGGCAAATCCATGGTCAGGGTCTGGACTCAATATCGACCCATTTATCCAGCCAGTTGCTGCCCCTTTGATGGGTGTAGCAACCAGCAATATTAGCATGACATCAATCATGCCAGACTGATTTCCTGCATAATGGTTGGTAACAGCTTGTCCCATGTAGCAGGTACTGAAGTAGCCCATATGGTTTTTGGGCACATCAGTTACATCTCAGGGAGCTGCGTCCGCCCAGGCACATTGATGTTGTTCTTCCCTGGAAAGAAATTCATCTTATCAAGGAGAAAAAGTATGGCTGTGACATATTGATTCCATTGGATGCTATCATTATCTGAAAGGGGCTTTCCAAAAAGCATTGTTGGGAATGTTGGCAGCAAGGGATTTTTGCATTTGCCATGGGGGAGTCTATGACTATAGTTAGTATTAACTCTAACTCTAAGGTCAGTGAGAGACAGCCCAACATATGACTTATTATAGTTATCAAGAATAGTTTCATTGGCAAGAGTAAAACAGCGGGGACTGTCTGGATTATAGGTTTCAATGTATACTACAGAGAAACAAATGGGCAGAGTAGGTATGGAAAGGCTGGCATTCCAGGGTACAGTCACCTCATAATGGATAACTCAGGATCAATAAGGTTGGAATTATTAGAGAAGAGCTTAGGTAAAGCCACTTTCCAATTATCAACATCCAAAAGGGGTGGTCTAGTGACCAAAGCTCAATTTACCTGATGGGAGCTTCACTGTTAGCAGTGAGTGCCACACACAATAGGACCACCATCATAGGCCCAGTGATGGGGTTGCCACCAGGCAAAGGGGCCAATCTGGTGGCTTGCTCAACAAGACCTTTAAGATCACCCCAGGTTACATTACGTGAGGTCTGTTTGCATTGTTGAGTCCTTTGCCCATGAGGTTTTTCCTCTAGAGTTAGTTCCTTCATCTTCTTGGTTGGTGGCTCTAGAGGTCAGGAGCTTGATGTTTCTGGCAGACACCCAGATGGGGTGAGGCTCCTGTTAACATATGCAAACCCTCCCCCCATGGTTAAGAGCCCCCGCCCCATGATCCCATGCATTTGTTATGGGATCCTTCCATGTGACCATAGTTAGATGGGTAGGCCTTGTGGTGGGGTCCCAATGATCATGGGCTGCTGTTTCTTTAGAAAATTTTGAGATTGAAAGAAATCTAAAAGCAAATAAGGTTTTGTTCAAGGCATCACGAGGGGACTTGGTATAGTTCCTCCCTCTGTTTTGTAGCATGGTCTTTAATTCCTTGTATGCTCTTTCTGTGATGCCTTGAGCCTGAGGGTTATAGGGGATCCCAGGTAAGCACTGTATATGCCAATCATTGCAAACCACCTGAAATGTCTTGCGAGCACAGGAGTATAGGCTGGCCCATTGTTAGTTTTAATAGACATGGGAACATTCATAATTCCAAAACATTTAAGTAGATGGGAGATGATCTTTTTTTGTGGTTTCTCCTGTGGAGGCTGTGGCCATTACACAACCTGAATAGATATCAATAATTACATGAATATATTTTAAATTTCCAAAAGGAGCATAATGAGTGACATCCATTTGCCATAAAGCATTAGATTTTAACTCTCAGGGATTCACTCCAGCAGGTTATAAAGGGCCAAGGGGGAGAAATGGTGCACATTTTTTTGCAGTCTCTGACTAGCTGTTTGTAAGCCTCCTTAGTCCTGCTTTTATGCAACTGCCATGGCTGAGGCCAGCAGAAAGGCTTGAGTTGCTGTGTCCCTTGATATCCAATGTGCTATTGTGTACTGGCGCCACTGCCCTCTACGTTCCTTATTTAGTCCATCCCAGATCAACTTCTTGGCTAAGGCTGCCCTAGCTCCTTCATGGGACACCTTCCCTTCTACCATCTTGGATACTCTGTCAATAAACTGTGGCAAGTCTTCAGTGGCTTTCTGCCTTAAGCCCTGTATAGAAACTGTACCCCCAGCTAGTAAGTTCCTCCAGGTTCTCAGAGCACAGAGCTGCACCTGATTAAATTAATTAGGTGGGCCTGTGGCTTGTACTGCAGGGGAACTGTAGATTCCCTCTCCCTGCAAGCATTCAGCTGGAAGGTTAACATTTGTGGTGTGGTTGCGATCCCCCTTCTGCTCACATTCATCATAGAAGAACGTCTTCCACTTCAAAAATGTTGAGGGCTCGAGAGCTGCTCTGGCTAGGTCTTTCCAGTCTTGAGGGCAATTAAGTTCAAGACTGAATGATTCCAGCATTTGCTTTGCAAATGGACCCCCAGGGCTCATCCTCTTTTACTGCCTTCTTTAATTCCTTTAGGGTACCCAACTTGTGTGGATACAAAGTGGCAAGGTGCTGTGGTGTGGGGGCCATGTTGACTGGGAAGGCTTGTACTCCCTGACCCCACTTTTCATCTCTTATCTTACATAGGTCTTCAAAAGGATCTCTGGCCTCCTGGAATGGGTTTCTGGGAGACCATAGCTTGGGCCTGTCTGGTGGCCTGATCATTTCTAAGCTGTCATAATCCCTTGCTGGCTTTGGCATTGCCTCATAAGGAGGCAGCTGCCATTGACTCAGGAAAGGCTATAAGGATATATTTGCCTGTTAGTAGAAGCCACACTTGCGCCATTTGTGGTCACGTCTTCCTGCACCCTGAAGGCTAGTGTTTCCTGCCCCTCTCTGCCGGATTTCTGTTCACAACTAAAAGGCTTAGGGGTCACTCCAGTTGAACTGGGCTAACTGGGCTACACAAAATAACCACACAAGAGACACAAATACCTTTTTCTTTGGGGTCACTATGATGGCTCCTCTGACCTTAAGGATCCACAGGAAGAGAGAGAGAGAGAGAGAGAGAGAGAGAGAGAGAGAGAGAGAGAGAGAGAGCGCACGCTGACCCATTTCATTGAGGAGAAGCTATTCAAATGAGGCAAGAGGTTAAGTTTCAGGGGGCTGAGTCTATCTTCATGATGTCCACTGTCAGCAGGTTGACTGACATCTAGGTAGGCCATGCATTTCCAAATGCCCTCTGGCAGTTACTCCAGGGAAGCTTGATTATAAAAGTAAAGTTGGCAGCGACATGCTGGATGGTACATTGATATAAAAATGACCTCAGTTCTCCACTTGGCCTAGTATTTATTCGTTTTGCAATGTGACTTTGCCACACCTCCTGTTAAATAGTAGAACCTATTTGTCCATCTCTCAAATCAGAGATGGACTTCAACTTGTTTTATTGTATAAAATATGACCAAAAAAATTTTTGTACCAGTTTTATGATAGACTGTAAGAGGCCGAAGGTGCTCCTACTTTCTGATGGGCTCCTTTTCTCTTTATGTAAACAACAGCCGGGTGGTGGATGACTCAGTAGTGTGAATTTTGTACCAGCCAACAACTAGTCACCCATAAGCAGCAGACCCACCTAGTCGATCTACAGTTGATGACATATGCACAAAGGCATATGGGTGAATAATTCTCCAGCTGAGTCTACCCTGAACTACTGACCCAATGAGTCATGAACTAAATACTGATTATTGTTTTAAGTCATTAAGGCTGACATGGTTTCTTTGCAGCAATAACTAACTGACAAGCTTCTCTGTGGGTGAATGAATCACTTGCAAGAATCAGAACTTGAAAACTAGCCGATATCATTGTATCTTGAGATTAGAAGGTATCATTGCAAATTAGTTTTCTAATTAGCCAAGTTCCAATACCTTGTTTGAAATGTAATACATGAGACTGGCAAGAAGGCTTGGTTGCTTCTTATACTGAAAAAGTATTAATAACTGTTTCCTTGTTTCCCATTAATTATTGTTTAATTTCCTGTGCAGTGGAATATATTGTTTTTCCTAACAATAAAGCCACATGGAAATGTGTACTTAGGTCTGTTATCCTAAGTGATGTACATATGTTGCATATTTTCTGGGCAGAGAGGTATTATTATCCATCTCTAGACAAAACACTTTACCAGAGGACAATGTGGGTTTTATAATAGCATAATTAAGAATTAAGTTATAATTCCACTGGTATTTTCAGAAAGTGGTCTTTATTTAATTAATTATTTCTTTTTTTTTTTTTTTTTTTTTTGCTTTAGAATTGGGCATTTGTGATCCCTGGTTAGAGGAGAAAATGAAGATGAAATATATCAAGATCTCATTGAGGACCCTGGGAACACACCTTACATTGTTCTTACTAATTAGATCTAGGTAAGTAGTTAAAGGCAGACTAGAGATGGGATAAGCAGCTGCTTAGAAATGTAACCATCAGAAATAAGCTTTGTGTCTTTACCTCATTATGGAGTGAAATATCTATGCAGATTTTGATTAGGTTAGTCTCAGAAATGGAACAAATCATATCTAAGTGTTTCCATCTCTTTAAATTTTGCTCCAAATCGAGTTGTCTCAGCCCTTGGATCCAGCAATTCTTTGCTGTATATACATTTCCCTATGCATTGTGGGATGTTCGGCAGCATCCTCAGCTTCTACACATTAGATGCAAGTAGCTCTTCTTCACAACCATAGAAATCTAAATTGTCTGTGGACTTCATCCAGTGTCCCATTGAGAACAAAAATTCACCTCACTGATAATCACTGCTCAAAATCACTGTCATCGTGTGGTTTTTGAGTTTACATTTTGATATACTGGGGAGTACTGAAGAAAATGATAGAGAAACCAAGTGAGAAGACTCCAGGTTTTTCAATTCTGCTCTGAAAAGAGAAGCTCTAATTTTACAATTCATTTGTATTTAGCAAATTGGTTTTTATTGTAAAATTTGTCCAAAATGATTCTAAGTCAAAGTTTTTTTTTTTTAATCCTTATATATCCAAAGCCATGTCAGTACTGAGATTCTGATACTAGTAACTACAAGTCACTTTTCTAGAAAGAGTATCCAAAAACACATGAAAAAACCTGTTATTTTCTAGTGACATTGATTATCCAGCCTATAGAAAACTTTTCCCCAAAATATAGTCATAACCCAGTTTATGACTATAACATCATTTATAGTCAATATTTTTAGAAAGAAACATAGCAATTTCTTAAGAATTTGAGTCACATTTCTCATTTTAAGGAGGAACCCATTGATCAAAATGGATTGATTTCTAGAACGTGGAGAGTTAGCAGACTCCACTACACTGTTCCCTACAATTCATTACTACTAGAGAAATCTTTAAAACATAATCTTTTGTCCTGACTCAAAGGAATTAAAATGTAAGTTTCTCCAGTGAAATTCAATATTATTTTAGCCACAATATTATTATACTTCTTTGCCAAATTAACAGAAAAAATGATGAACTTTACAAAGTGAAAAAGAAAGTCACTGACCCAGAGACTCAACTAGGTACTTAACACTAAGCATTATGTTTTTAAAAAAGTTAAGTCTCCAAAGAAGCAGAAACTAATGATTGACATGAACATTTTTACCTCCATCTGATGTCTATAAGATTTACAATGTTGCATAATGGACCAGACTGCTCTGCTACAGTTACTCACCCATGCATTTATACATCTATTTGATTTTCTACAAAACTTCATATGTATGTATGTGGGAGGGGAGAGAAAAATTGAGTCATCATCCTTGTGGATCAATCACCGTTTATTTATTGCTGTGCATATGTGAATAACTTAGTGATTTCCTGGTTGCAAAATCAGCTTTATTCTTTATTATCAAAATAACAAGGCTCAAATTATTTTTGAGTGCCTGATTTTTTTTATTGAGGCATAATTTATATAAAAAGAAAGACACAGTTCTTAAATGTTATGTTTGATGCATTTTGACAATTGAATATGGCGGTGTAACAAGATATTGAACATTGTCATCACCTCAGAAAATGTCTTCATGCGTTCTCCCAGTCAATTTCTGTCTCCCAGGAGCAATCCTTCTGAATTCAATCACTGCTGATTAGTCTGGAATGTACTACATTTAATATAAGTGGAATTATGCAGCATACACTATTCTGGGTTTGTTTTTTCCTTTGTTGCAATGTACATAAAATGTATTTGTGTTGTTGAATGAATCAATAGTGGGTTCCTTTTTATAGTTATGCAGTATTGCAAGGCTCCATGCATCCTTTAAAGGTTTTCTTCATAAACTGATTTGTTTGCATACAGGACTTTAAGAATGTAAAATCTGGACCAAAGCAATTTTGCATATGAAGACTGTTCTTCATATGATCAACCACCCTTGGAAATTAATTTAGTACTGAGAGGGAGCCTTTACTTTTTAATTTATTTTTATTTTTAAAAAGGTGTTTTGAAATCATGTTTTTAAAAATGCATAGGCAAAACCTGTGCTTTTGGCTCAATGGTAAACATTTTAGCAACTGTCCCACTAACATGCTTGTTAGCTTTTTTTAAAATTGATTTTATTTTTTAAATACATGACAGTGGAATGGATTACAATTCTTATTACCCATAAAGAGCATAAATTTTTATATCTCTGTATATAAAGTATGCTCACACCAATTCATGTTTTCATATATGTGCTTTGGATAATGATGTCTATCACATTCCACCATTATTGCAAACCCCCTGCCCCCTCCCTTTCCCTCCCACCCCTCTGCCCTATCTAGAGTTCCTCTATTGTTTTTAGATATACATAACAGTGTATATTCTGACATATTATGCATACATGGAGTATAACTTATTCTAATTAGGATTCTATTCTTGTGGTTGCACAGATGAGGAGTTTCACTGATCAAGTATTTATATATGAACATAGGAAAGTTATGTCACATTCATTCTATTATCTTTCCTTTTCCCACCCATTCAATGTTCATAGCAGCTCAATCCACAATAGCTAAGCTATGGAGCCAATCTAGGTGCCCTTCAACCAATGAATGGATAAAGAAAATGTGTTATAAATACACCATAAGGAGGGGAGGGAAGAACAGAAGAAGTTCATCCAATCATTAGCTTTTAAAGCAATTAGACTGTGTAAAAAAAAAATAACAAAATGAAAAAGCTAAATTCGCAGCAGTTGGTCTTCAGAGCTTTATCCTTTTACATGACAAGAATGATGTGCGCTTAACATAGAGATGTGCATGATGAGAAAAATCCTATCTCCTCCAATTTGGGGGTTGAAAATATTTTTGTATGTCACTTAGACTATTATTAATTTCATAGGTATAAATTGTGATGAAATCACCTACATTTAAAAGGTGTATAGGTTTTCGTCTAACAGGCATGCTATTTCTTCCTCTAACTTCTTCCTCCAGTTCCTCATCTTTCAGATAATTCCTGCTACTCTTCCTGCATCATCAGGGCTGCCTTTGCCTTCCTGCACGTGCCCATTTACATTTCTATTATTTCTTAGTTCTTTGTTTCTCAAAGCATTAATCACAGGTGCTACTTGTTTGAGTGTTTGTGTTGTGAATTTGTTGTTGTCCAGGGAGTAAACCCAGGGGTGCTTAACCACTGAGCAACATGCTCAGCTGTTTTTATATTTTCTTTAGAGGCAGGATCTTACTAAGTTTACTTAGGGCCTCTCCAAGTTGCTGATGCTGACTTTGAACTTGCAATCCTCCTCAGCCTCTGCCTTCTCTGGAGCTGGAGCTGCTGGGATTACAGGACTGTGCCATCATGTGCAGCTGGGTTGTGAGTTTGGGGAAGTATTCAGTTCGTTTCATTCCCCGCACAGGAATGGTATACTGTAAGAAGTTAAATGCAGGGACCATACCTGGCTCACTCATCTATGTCTGTCTGTCTCTCTCTCTCTCTACCACACAAGGGATGAATAAATGACCAAATGCCACACAGATCAATATAATAATTTTATTTTGCTCACAGCAGTACCAGAGTATTTAAGAAGAGTCTGATTTTTTTTTTTTTTGCCTATCACAGAAATGTTCTGTACATGCTAAGCTAACCCAAGCACATCTCAGTCACTTGCTTATACCACCCTCACTACAATGAGTTGTCCAAGTTCATCTACACCCCAGTTGTGTCAAATCTGTAGATTCCTTTCATTTCTCATCTTTAGAGACCTTTAGAAACAACATTTGGCATCAGTTGTTATCCTCTTTCCTTTATATTCCACTGGCAAAAAAATTAATTGCGGTAAGATACACATAAGAAAATGTACCCTCTTAACTATTTAGAAAGAATGAATGATTTTATTTTTAGTAACTTATCTATAGTTTATTTTTCTGTAAAAAAGTGGTGTGTCCTTCCTTTTGTTTTCTTTCTTATCTGTTGATTTCTCTTTTGAAAATGATATTTGAGCAAAATGAGGATATAAAGTAAATTAATTAATTTAGCTATATGTTTGAGAACAATTAATGAAATTATTTGTTGGGTCACAGTCCTGGAATGGTAAAAAGAGGCATAGACCTAGGTATTATCAAGTCTGTTGTAATAATTTTACAGGTAAAAATGCTCAGACCAAAGGAAAGATGATTTGCCCAAGGTTACCCAACTGGTAGGATTTAAAACTCAGATTTTTATTTAAGTCTAAGATATTAGTCATGAGCTTTTTATTGGTAAGAGACAGAAAAATAATTCAAACAAACTTTTATTAATTGTTGGCCATGCCACTGAGTAGTTAGTAGATCTCTCATGGGCTTGATCTAGGAGTACCAATGGTTTTCATTTCATTCAATTTTCTCTTTTTCTTAATGATTTTTAAACATGCCACTAGTTGTGTTAAATATATTCACATTATTGTGCACTCAATCTCCATAACTTTCATCTTGAAAACTGGAACTCTATACCCACTAAAGAACTCCTCATTTCCCCTAAGCCTAGCGCCTGGTGACCACACTTGTAATTTCTATCTACGCAAATTTCACTAGGTACTCATACAAAGTTTGTATCTTGTCCTTTTTAAAATTCTTTTCTCTTTGGCTTCCATAACATCAGACTCTTTTCTCTATTTCCTTTATTCCCTGTCTTCACAGTTTCCTTTTCTTCCTGGCATTTCTCCTGTGTTGGAGTTTCCCCAAGATAAAAATTCAAGTGCAGGTGATTTATTTTAGGGATGACCCCAAGAAACAATGTTATGTGTGTGAGAAAGTGAGACAAGGAAGGAAAAAGCTGATAAAAATGCCTCAACAATAAAGGGTTTGTTATAAGCAATTGGAGCGCCATCCTACTAGGGGCTGTGAGAGACATGGAGAGGCAGCACAGAGCTGTCCCAGATGAGCAGGGAAGAAGCTGGAGTATCTACCTACCAAATCCCAATCTTCAGGGGCCTAGGGCTCCTTATTGGGGCATTACTTAATGGGATTTCCAGGCTGCCCATGGCATGGACCACAATATTCCATTGAAAGAATAGCTTCAGATGGGTGGTGTGAATGTTGGTGGGGGAGACATGAAGGGCATTGAAAATACCTACTAACATCCCCTTTTCTTTTTTGCCCTTCTGGCTGTCCACAGTTTCTGTGGATGTATTTCTATGCCCATGACTTTTATTACTGGCTAAATGCCTAAAATTTCCAGATCTTTGGCTTGGATTTTTCCCTTGTGATCTGGATTCTTATATTCTTCAGCCTATTGAACATCTGCTTTTGTGGAAGCTTACTGTATCTCAAAATCACCAAAGCTGTTCCTCTTTCTTTAGTTCTAACTCTGGTTAACAGTAGCCTCCCCTCCTGGTTACTGCCTCTTCCCTTCACCTGGTTAATGGAACTGTAACTCCCTCCCTCAATCTTGATCTCCTGGGCTAGAAATCTAGCAGTCCTCTTGAAGTCTCCCTCACCATCTCATCTCATGATTAACCAGTTATCAAGACCTGCAAATTCTGATACCTTTAAAGTCCTCTAATCCATCTCTGCCACTGCCACTGTTATTTTCTTAGTTCAAATTCCCATAATCTCTCACCTTGAACATTGCAACATTCTCCTGACTTGTCCTCCTCCTGATTGCATTTTAAACTTCACCCAGTCCATGCCCCAAAGAGCAGGAAGACTACCTTCTTGAATTGTAAACCAGCTGACATCACTTCCCCTCCAGAAAGTCTCTTAATGATGCCTGAGTATTGCAGTCATTTTTAACTCTGTTTTACCAATTACAGAGAGGCAGCCTTTTCTCTTTTGCTAATTTCTGGAGAAAGTGGTAAATGATAGGAATTAACCATTGCTTAAATATTTGGGAATTATATTCATAATATAATATTCATAAAAACAATTAGAAATGGGGCTTCTGGAAGAGGAAGTCATCGATGATCCCTTTAATTATTTTATTTCTTACTGGTTCACTTAAATTCTGTCTCTGTTAATTATGTATATGGATTATATTTTTCTAAGAACTTGTTAATTCTCTCTAAGTATTCAGATACACAGATGGAGTAATTCAGAATATTCTTTTTCTTTTGGATTCTTGTTGAATGTGTAATCTTTCTCCTTTATGTATTTGGTTACTTACAAATTCCTTTTTCCCCATTCAGTATCACCAGAAATCTTTCTTATTAAGCATTTAAAAGAATTAGATTCTGGTTTTACTTAATTATTGCTACTTGCTGTTATTTGTATTATTCACAATTTCACAATTTCTGTCACTATCTTAATATCTCCTTGTCCATGTTTTTTTGGATTTGCTCTCCTGTTATTTTTTCCATATTATTTATTTGATTGCTGTAAGTCAGCCTTTCATTACTGTGACCAAAATACCTGATAAGAACAGTTTAGAGAAGGAAAATTTACATTGGCTCACAGTTTTAGAGGTTCAGTCAATGGTGGGCCAACTCCATCACTCTGGGCCTCAAATGAAGAACTTCATGGCAGAAGGCATGTGGAGAAAAGCTATTCAGCTCATGGCTATCAAGAAGCAGAGCAAGAGGGATCTAGGAATCAAGAACAAAATATAAACTGCAATGACAGCCTCCAGTGACTTACCTCTTCTTGCCACTCCCCATCTGCCTACAGTTACCACCCATTTAGTCCATTCAAAATAGGATGGACTGATTAGGTTACGGTTCTCATAACCTAATCATTTTACCTCTGAACATTCCTGCATTGACACAGGAGCTTTGGGGGGACATCTCATCTCCAAACCATAACAAATACTTTTTTGGCCTTTGGTGTGGAGAGTTGTGACAGTTATTGAGAGACCAATGTTTGAGATTGGGGTCACTGATGACTTCATGGCTATGGCATGCTTGGTGTCTGGGAAAGTTTCTGTGCAAAGATACAAGATGCCTGGTTGCTATGGCAATGCCCTCCACAGGGAGGCTCTGTGCTAGAGTCAGCCTGGATCTCAGGCACACAGCTCCTGGGAATGAAGGAATTCTCTTGCTAACACTACCACAATGTTTCACCAGTTCTGCTGCTCCCGAACCTGCCTGCATAATAGTAACTTTAAACAATCGACTTTCTTGAGAGCTACACAATTCTCCTAACATTGCACATTGCAACTGTAGAATGTAACTGGAGAATAAACAGCATAATGTTGCTAACTCTGTAACTTTCAAGAATAATGCTTGCATAGTCTTTAATCTGATTAATGAGACATATATAATAAAGATTGCTGGCATAATTCTTTAGACTTGTTTCTCCGTCGGTGAGCAGCACTCCACCCAATCCCAGCTGTTTACTTCACAATCTGAGTTTGTGAGTTTTATTTCTTCCAATCTCCCATGGCCCCTCACTGGAACCTGCTGCTAGTTTGGCTGTGCTGGTTACAGCACTTTGGTTTTTTGATGAACATTTTGATATATACACTTACCATATATATTGTAAACATTTAGTATGCATTTCCTTCTAGGTACTACTATTGTGTACCTCAGAATCCATTACTATTTATCTCTAATTTTTTTTTACTTGTCTAATAAAAATCAGTCATTTAATTTGAAGAGAAGACACATCTTCTATTTTGCACAAAGACTTCTTAGTGATACTGGGGACTTCCATTTTCCAGCAGCTCCTGGGAATGAAGGAATTCTCTTGCTAACACTGTCATGTATAACAGATTAAAAATATTTTTATTTTTAATCTGTTATACATGACAGAAGAATACATTACAATTCATACTACACATGTAGAGCACAAATTTTTATGCCTCTGGTTGTACACAAAATAGAATCACACCATTCATGTCTTCATACATGTACTTAGGGTAATGATGTCCATCTCATTCCACCATCTTTCCTAACCCACTACCTCCTCCTTCTAAATATTTCTTAATCCAGATATAGAATGAAGAAAGTGAGAATGATTGATCAAATCTTCTAAATCCCTGAACACAATCAAAGTTGGAATCCCTCTTGAGGTAGGTTCCATGGGCATGAAGCATTGCAATACTGAAAACCAAAATATCAATTTCCTTTATGAAGGGAATTTCAGTCCATTAAACAATGCTCCTATTGTAATCTTTATTCCTGGGGAAGGGAAGAAAAAGAATCACTGAACAAGTAAAAGATGACAAGTTGTAGATTCTAATTCATTTATAAAAATTTGTTAGACTTCTTTCACATTGGTTATTAAATAAAAGAATTAAAGCCCATATTATCAAGTAATATCATTAGGCATTTATCTTGATTACAGTGACCTTATCTAGTTTAATCTTATAAATGTCACACTGTTTTCTTACAATTAAAAAATTAAAATTAAATTACATGCTGGCTGTCAAACCAATTTGTTTTTAGCAGTTTACGCTTTTCTTTTAAATTACATACATAAAGTTTGATCATGATATCTAATATAATTTAAGAAAGTTTTTCTAAATGTAATGAAAGTCTTAAAAGACAGAACAGTAGATTATAACATACACACATACATGAGCACACATGTTCAAATATATATACTTCAAAGGAGCACCATGCTTTCAGAATATGCTTTATTTCACAAATAAAGTTATCACTTACCTATATCTAATAAATACAAATTAAGTAATGGGAAGTAGCATGTTAATTTATTACCTTATTTTAATACTTTATCATAAAAATTGAATTTTTTACCATGTTTTCAGTAA